TGGGTTCAGTGATGCTAGATTTTACAACTCTTCGAAAGAATTGGAAATCTGGGTATTCTGTGAAATCTTTTCATTTTGAAATGTTTACTCAGAATTCAAATTCAGAGGAGGAGTTGGGAAAAATTTTTGCGAGCCAAATGAACCTACTTTAGGATCAGATTTAGACCCTAGCTGTAGATCTTCATTTTGTTCTTTCCGAGTTATCTAAATGAGAAATGTTGGTAAGGTTGTAGAGGAAATGTTAATGCTTTCTAATATGTGAACCAAAAAGGGGAGACTAGTTTACATTTATGGCTGACTAGTTAAGGGCTTCAACTGTGGCTTCAGATTGCCTGTGTTTATGTCCTGGCTATGTACCCAGGGCAAGTTACGAAGTCTCTCTGTGTCCAATTGCCACTTCAGCAAAATGGGAACGGTAATAGCACAGTTTCTGCGAGGACTCAGATGAGCTAAGCTATGTATAGTGCTTATTGGCACAGTGCCTGGCACATAGTAGTTGCTTGTCAGAGCATTTACTTTTTGTTGTACTTGAAGTAAACGTCCCCTGTCAATGTAGTGAGTCTGTTTTATGTGTTGAAGAATATGAGATAAGAGGATAGGTTCTGGAGTCTGCAAGCCAGGATTTGAATTGTTGCTCTACTGCAGTGTACCCAGAGCAAGTATCCTAATTTTACTAAGCTGTGGATCCCTCCCCTGTAAAATGGAAATAAATAACCTATACTTCAAAGTACTAAGAATTCAGTAAGATAATATGCGTAAAGTCAATACCAGGCTTATAGTCAATACATGTTTCTTGCTGTAATGATTATTTTTTCTTTAGAAGTTCTTTATTTGCAAGCATTATTTTAGGTCATTTATGTCTCATTACATGTATTTGAAGGGAATTACATCACATTTGACTTACAAATTAAACTTCATCTTAATGAACAATATTACAACAGTGGCACTCTTCCAGGGTGATTTTACTTCCCAGAAGACATTTGGCAGTCTGGAGACATTTTTGGTTGTCATAGCTGAATGGACTGCAACTGGAATCTAGTGGGTAGAGACATGACAACTTTCCATGCAATGCTTGATTCTGAACTGGATTCTTTGGCTATGAGGGATGTTATTGAGACTGTTGACAAAGTTTGGAGACTGAGGATTAGATGATGATAATGTGTCAGTGTGAATATTTTTAATCTGATGGCTGTATTGTGGTTATGTAGTCAAATGTACTTTAGGAAATACACACTACATATTCAGGGGTGATGAGGCATCAGGCCGGCAATTTACTCTCAGGCAGTTAAAGAAAAAAAATCCTTTATACTGTACTTGCCACATTTCTGTTAGTTTGAGATTGTTTAAACGTTTTTAAAGTATGCAAAAAGAAAAAATATATCATAGAATATTACCTCGCATATAAAAATAGACACATCTAGTCTCTTTTTAAAGGGATGTATAGTATTCAAGCTTTTGTATCAAAAAAATTTTTTTTACCAATCTTTTATTGATAGACATTTAAATTGATTCCAATTCTTTATTATTATAAACATTCAGTTCTTTCTTGTTATAAAAAATGTTAGTAAATATCCTTATAAACATATTTGTACTCTTGTTCAATTTTTGCCCAAGAATAAATCCCTAGAGTCGAATTGCTGTGTGAATTGATATGCATCATGTAATCCGTTTAATCATGTCATTGTAGGAAACACATAAAATCTTCTTAAAATAAAATGAAATTTACAATTTGGTAGTTATTTTTATTTATTTTCCTCCCACTGGAAAGTAATCTCTTTAAGGGTGCGAACTTCATCTGTCTTAATTGTCACCATCTCCAGCATTAAGATAATCTGAGTCACGCAATAAATACTTGTTGCGTGACTTTTATTTATTATGTATTTTATTATGTGTCTGGCATTGTTCTAAGGACATGAATTCATTTATTCCTTGTTACAACCCTATGAGATAAGTAGTAGAATTATTTCCATTTCGCAGATGAGGAAACTGAGACAAAGAATGGCTAGATCCTTGCCCAGTTTTACAAGGCTAGTAAATGGTAGAGCCAGGAGTCCAGGTGGTTTTTCTTCAGTTTACAAGTTCTTAGCCACTATACTATACTGATTTTCTCTTGTCGAATAAATGAATCAACAAACGAATGATCAATATATTTGATTCTTTGACCAATTACAAATTTCAATTCTTTTTTTTCTTTTTCCAAATAAAAATTGAAATGGACTGCTTGTTTTGTAAAAGCCAGATTCGTTTTTTGGTACTCTGTACCAGGCTGTATTTTGCTATGTAATAGTACTGCTCCTAGAATTAATATCCGTACAGGTATAAACTATAAATTATTCTTACTAAGAACTGATGGATGTGTAAACAAAATATTTGCTTTGTATTATAAATAAAACAATAAATCTGGATCTGCAGCTAGAGTCTAGGAGGCAGAACCTATGTTACATTATTTACATTTTCAAGCACACCCTCTGCTCCCCACCTGGGCTCCTGTGCCCCTGCCATTCCCTGCACCTGGAATGCCTGTGTCCACCTCCCACAGTGGAAACCCAGCCACCCTCCAGGCTCCCCTTAGTAGCCACTTCTCTTATTGAAGACTGCTTTGTCTTTTTGTCCTTTCTTACCTTTCTTATTCTCCTCTTGAAGGTTGAAGTAATCTTTCTTTCTTCAAAATTCCCTGAGTCCTTTTTATAGTACTCTTATAAGACTACTACATTGTAAACATACCTTATGTTAATTGTGTCAAGTGCTCATCTCCCTTAATAGGCTATATTCTCTTTTATTCATTTTATAAAATATAGTTTTACTTATGTTAAAGCCCTAAAATGTATTACAATATACTGTACAGAATATGAATTTAAGTATGTGTTTTGAATGAGAGAATGAATTCTCTCTAGGAAATATGTTTAAAATTTTAAATCCTAAATCAGAAGACTACTAAATTTTTTTGAATATTATATATTCAAAAATTATCAGGAATTGTAAAATAAATGAAATGCTTAGAGATAATTTTTTTCATCTAATTTTTATTCTGTCTCTAGTTTACAAGGCATCAAGAACCAAGAAACATAATTAGCTTTTATTCCTATAAAATCTTTTGTTCTGTTCATGGCTACAAATATCAACTTTGTTTCCACCCACAACTTTAGTTCCCTTTTCTTTTAGTAGGTGGTTTAGGGACATCATAGGTAATAAAATCAATCAAAGGGATAAGTGGAATTTTTTTTTCAAAGGCTAGTATTTAAGGATGTGTTCCTGTGAATTTTAATATTAAATTTGTTTTCAAGTGTTTGTATAATACCAAATCTCCCTGCCACCTGGAAGAAGGACTGTCCTTGAATCTTGTTCTTCATGAAACAGTAAAATATAATCTCTATATATAATAAAAAAATAAAGGAACTTTAGGGAATGTTAAGTATTGTCTTTAGGATTATACTTTGTTGCTAGCAAAGGCAATAGCATAGCTTTCAGGCCAATTGTTTCTATTCCCCCATAAGGAGTTCTTTCCTTTACCCAGGGACTAAGACAAAGCTGAAGAGTTTTTGTTTCTGAAAACTCAAACAGCAAGCCAAAGAAAAAGTTCGAACAAATGTCATCAGTCTTTTATAAATGACATTGCTTATGTAAATTAGCTGTGATCCTTGGGTGCTGGTGAACCCCAAGCCTCCTTGCATTGGTTGGATATTATGTCATGTTTTATTTAAGTTTGGTGGTCTTCTGGAAAGCTTTGGCCATAAAGTCTTCACCTTTAATTCTAGTTTATGCTTTTTTGTTTTAATTTCAGGGTTTGTTTGTTTTTAGATTAGCTTCACCATCTTGTGATTTCCAGAGGATAATTTAGAGGCTAATATATTATTGTGGAGCACTGCCATAATATCTTACTGATTTTTACTTTTTATCGTTATTCGTTTGGCCATTGGATTTGAAATTCCCCAAACCGAGTTTATAATTAGTGATTAAAATCAAACTTTAAAAAATCTTTTCTTTTAGAGATATTTTTATATTGTGAATGATACATTTTTAAATAATGCTTTCTGACTAAAATTTACGAACTTGACACATAGTCTGAAATATGTTTGGAACACTAGTAAAGTCAAAACACGCATATTTTATAATTTAGCCCAGTCGATTCCTCTTCATAAAATGTTTAGGTAGCCCTAGTTCTGCGTGGCCTCTCATTCGTATTCATGCTAAGTTCTTGATCATACCCTTTGTGTATAAATCCATTTGGGGGTCATCTGAGATTCTCCCTGCTGTATCTAAATACATTGCACTGTAAATTTCCAAACTATATTCAAGAAAGAATGTTTTGAGAGGCTTGCCTTATAAGTAATTATTACTTTGTATATTAGATGCAGAATTTTTAAATAAGCATTTACATTTCATATATCATGTTAACTGTAGCTTTTTGGTTTGTTTTAAAATATTCCTGAGAACTTCAATTGCTTCTGTGATGATCATTCTTGGCAAGGGGTATCTTTCTCCTTAGATCTGTAGCTCTGTGGTGCATATACATAAACACTCCTTTGTTCTCAAAATCTTTTTCTGTCTGATTACTGTTGTGTGCAAGTGCTTTGTCTCTGCTTCTCTTCGTTTTTTTTTCTTTTTTTTTCTTCTCGTGCCCTTAGCCTGTCATTTGTGTGAATAAGTTTGTTTACATTCAGTGGAGGTATTAAGTGCATTTTGAAGATAGAAAGGAGTGATAGAAGTAAGGAGAAGAAATCAAGAGAGTGGGGTGGATGAGAGGGAAAAGGAGGGAAGAAGTAGGAAAAGAAAAGGAGAGTGTGAGAGAGGAGGCAAAAATAGGGGCAGAATAGGGCTGTGGGGGTTTGTGAAATTTTGGGGGCTGGTCCTGAGGGAGGGAGAGCAACAGACCAGCATTTTCCCCAGGCTTGGGCTCAAGCTTGTGAAACTACGAATGTATTAAAGAACCTCAACTGGGATTTGCTGAGGACAAATGCTGTAATGTGTTAGTCATCCATTATCTGCTTCTATTTTTGCAGGTTCTGAATGATGACTGACGCGGGTTTGTGTGATATCTCTCACAGTCACTGTCATTCCCCAGCGATAAGGAACCCGCACGTCTAGCCCCAGCACCAGGGCAAAAAGCAGCTCTGGAAGGAGGAAAGCTTCCGCTTGCGGAACCGGACAAAAGTGCAGCCTGCTCAAGGGTTTCTTATCCAGACACCCCGCCTCGGCCAGCTCGCCGCTCTCGCGGCAGGCGGCGTGTG